ATATATATATATATATATATTTATATTTATATTTATATATTTGCTGCTTTTATATTTTTCCTCTTTCCTCTCAACTCGTCTTCGTCTCCTCTTTTCCTCCGTATTTGCTACCAAACGCTCGTTTCTGAAAAGCAAAAAAAGCTTTAAAATGAATGAGAATAAAAAACTAAAGTAAATTTTTTTTTTCGCGAAACAAATATAATTTTAACTGTCAAAAGATGGAAATATATAGAAAAGAAAAATGAATAAAAAATAATGATCCCATCTGGAAAATGAGGACAAAAAAAATTTTTTTCTTGTTGATATACAGTTAATAGTTCCCATCTTCTTCTTTGTTCCACTCTGTACTTCTGTGCTAGCCCAATTTTTTTTTCTTTTACAAATTCAAAACATTTCTCTCTAATAGCTGTAATTAAAAAAAAAAAAAGAAAAAAACTAAGTGTTTATTGTTCAGACACTGCAAACAACAGAGTCGAGCATTATCGGTTTGATCGTTCGTTTTCAGTTTTGTTGAACTTTTGCCACCACAACACTTTTATTAAATCTGTACTATTCGTTGCGCAGAAATACCGGTTGAACTCCATCAAAGATACGTATAACTGGAATGGTATAATAGGATTAACTTTCTTGTCGGTAAACCAATCCAGTTGAACCTTGACTCATGTTATGTTTCAGATAATCACCACCACCACGTAGCACTACCAATCACCCTTTACCAAGCTAAGCCGACTAAGAACATCATGGACAACAAAAAGCGACAGGAGGAAGAGCAAGAACACAAGCAGCAGTGCCAAAGAACCTGAATCTAACCAGTTAATCGTCAAGCACCACTCATCCATTCAGAGAACTGTGACAACCTCTGCCAGCTATTGCTGTCCGGATTTGTTCACCTATTCTGCTCACATCATTTCTTGTTTTATCAACACACAGCTTCTTCGAGCAAACCTACGGAGTGTTCAACCATTCACAACAATACCAATAATTTATTGAGCAGAGAAAAAAGAACTTTACAACACAACACCAATGATAAGCATCATTTTCATCTTCTTCATCATCATTATCATCATCATCAGCAGCAGCAGTAACAGCAAGAATATAAAAGAAACATTTCAAACAACAATAATAAATACAGATCTGCTGCCAAATAACAAACAACATACATAACCATTAAAGAGCAAGAAAAATAGATTAGCAAAATCTACCAAATAATAAATAGGACCAATACAACAACCAAAATTTACAACCATTTCATACATCTAATTTAAAATATTGCTTTGCAACACAATTGCAAAAGATGCGCTCCACAGACAATTAACTGGCCTCATACTGGCGTCTCACTAAATTAATACTTGCAATGTTTACACTAAATCAATCCTAGCTGTCCCCCCTTCATGTCTTGCTTCCTTTTTTCAACCAACAACTTCCCCTCTTTCATTCCGTTTTGCAGCGACTACGACAAGAAATAATTAATCATCTACTCTTTTCTTTGATGCATGCAAGCTCTGCAAGAAAACAAAACTTCTCGAAATATAAACTATCAGTATCATACTTAGGAAAAGATAAAAAAAATGTAAAACAACCAATAAAACAACAAGCCCAAAGATAAAAAAAAGCACTTCTTTCATCGTTTTCATCAGAGTAGGTAAGAAGAACAACACGGCTAAAGGAGAACAACACGATTAAAGTCCCAAAGTCAAGCATCAGGAGGGAAGAATAAATAAAGAACACTTCGACTACAACAATTCAACTTCATAAGTTGAACAGAGTAAAAAAAGATCTCAACAAATTCTGTCTACAACACATCATAAAACTTTTTTTTTTGGCTCATACAAACATTCTTTCAGAGCCAATAAAATTTGCTACTTCCTCCAGTAACTTTCCCCCTCCCAAACCCCTAATAAAAATAGCGAAATAAATAAATAAAATACTAAAACAGGGCAAAAAAAAGGAACAACCACTATGTACAGCAGCGATATTGTAAAGGGAAACAATAATAAATAAGAATGAAGCCTCTAAACTGTAGAGGAAACAACAGGATGTAATGTTCACATCTGAAGATCACAGTCACACATATACAAAAAAACAGCTGAACAACAGAAAAAAATGATATTCCGAGACATAAAGTATAAGCGTATAAGGCTTCCTTACTACACAGACATACAAAAAAAACTGCAAAGTTAATCAACATTCTTTCAATGAAGCACAAAAGAGAAAAAGGCAACCGGTTTTTTTTCATCCCCATCAAAGGAAGTCTTAACTTCAAAAACTTAATAAAGGGGAGAAAAATAAGAATAAAATATAAGAAAAAAACA